GTTGTCTGAACTATTTTAAATTAAGGAGCCAGATGTTTTTAGTCAGGTTATCCTGACAAGACTTGACCTAAACTTCGTTTTTATTGGTCATAACAGTCCAATTATATTCTTGGCCAATTTTGTCCAACGGACAAGGGAAAAGCAAAGTCAACGACACCATTATCTTGTCAAGATCAAATGGTTTTACTATTGTGGCAGAAGCGGGAAAACTTTGTTTATTGAAAAAAAAAAAAGAAAAAAGAAAGCAAGAGAAAAAGATAATATGGGGTCAAGTGTAACTCCATGGAAATGCCACGTCTGCTCTTCAGTGAAGAAGCTGGTTTAGAGTCTCACAGAAAACTTTTGACTGTATTTATTTATTGTTGCAAAAAAGACGCTTTTTTATTGCTGCCCTCATTTGTCAGCTAATTATTTTTTCTTATAAAATCCAGCCCCGGTTACATGTAATCCATTCTGTATCTTATCATGATTCCTGTAGGTAAAAGTACAAGACGACCTCTAGATGTCTTTTCTTTCTATGAAAGGAGCTGCTATGTACACATGTGCACACACACATAAACACACACACAACTGGGAATCAACAATGAGTTTATTGTTCATGGTAGATAAAAATTAAGCTTGCATAAAGGTTGGGCTAAGTGGTCCTGGACTACAGACTCTGTTGCCTTGAATATAACAGTACAATTTGTCATTTACTCTGCACCAGGCTAAACTGAGTAAAATCTATTTGAAGGTATCTTGTTTGTAAACATTTGTCAGATTCTAATTTTTTTCTTTTTGTATTAAAATTCAACTATGGATGTATATGAAACAAAATAAATGGAGATCATTTTTCTCCCACAGATGGTGTCTTTGAATGTGCGCTAATGATTACCTGTAAGCCTTTGAGGGGAAAGGGAGGGCTGCAAGGTACATAACAGGCTGGAGAATCTAATTGCACCTGGGTTTCCCCAGGGCAGTCGTGGCCCTTCATTTCCTCGTTCCCAGCCCACTGTCATCACATCAGAGAAGAATCTTCAGGGGTGCTAATCCTGTTGCATCAGTTAATCATACTAAAGGGTAATGTGGCAAAATACACATTGCCTTCATCTGTACATTACATAATACCAGGCCAGGCAAATGATCAGTTACGGACAGCTACTTACAGTTTATATGGGGCATTTTTTAAATTACTTCATCCATTTTGTATTTTTTTGTTGGTTGGTTGAGTTGTTTGTGGGTTTTTTCCCCACATAAGAAAAAGTAGTGTAAGCAGTAGGGGGAAAATGGAAACAGCAGAGGATGGTGTATTTTGCATGTCTTTCCTTTTGGTGTTCTAACCTTACACGTTGTATTACCTACCGCATTGTAATAATAGCTTCTGTAAGATCTGCCATAGTTGGTTTATGCAGCTTTGCAAAAATTTTACTAGATTTTGCACTAATTCATGTTAGCTTTGTCCTGCCAGTTTCTGGGATTTGTCAAATCATGTTTTTAAAAAGTTTCCTTCTGTTTAATATCACCCTGCTATGCAAAACCTTTCCCGGACCTTAGTTTCTTAAAAGAACGAACGATGTTGCTCCAGTTCCCAGTTCTTCCTTATCACAGACTCAGGTGTGCAGGTTATTCTGGGTTAATTTTATCTCATGAAGCCCATTCCTTTTTGTACATACAAATGTCACTTAGAAACCTATGCTTACAAACTTAAAGAGACTAACTGCTCAATATGAAAACATGGAAACAAAGTTTTGCTTAAAATAACATGGAAGTAGTCAAATACAGGTTATTTTGTCCTTTTACCTTAAAAAAAAAATGTTGCCTATTGTATGCACTGTGCTGATGCAAGAATCCTCCATTTTAATGAATTACAAAATCATTCTGCATCTCGTCACGTCACAGTATTTCTGTACTATTTATTCATATATAGAGAGAGAGAGAAAAGATATATATGGGCTTAATCATTTAAAACTTGTTACGGCAAGAACTTTCCTACCTGTAGGCAATAGATTGCTATGTTTTTAACAGATTGTGGCAAATTCTAAACAGCAATTCCTTTTGTACGTAATAGGACATTTCATCCTAGAAAAATAAAGTAATGTTTTTGACATTGGATTTGGTGCAGTTTCTAATGAAATAGTGGTTTGGTTGGTTGATATATTTTCTGTAGCCGTTGGCATTGCCAAATTGTACCAAAAAAGATAAATTTTATGGGAATCCTCAGACCAGGAAGATACTAATTTCATATGTGTATTTAATAGTATAAAGCCTTTTGTAATTTCTATCACTGTATAGACATTTTATAGTTTTATCAACTACAGAGCTTTAGTCTTGTTTCAGAAGTAATTTTTGAAAAACATTCTTATAACACATAATGAGTTTCAAAAGCTGCTTTTCTAGGAGTATTCTTTGACAAGCTCCTGCTATCCAATAAGATAAATATATCACAGCTCTTTTACTTTGAATAATCCAAGTAGTAGACTGTACATTCGTGATACACGGTTAGGATTTTCTACCCAGTCTTTAGGCTTGTAAACTCATGTAAGTTGCATCAGTAGATTTCCTTGGCTAAAAGGATTTTCGGTGCTTGTTATGTTTCATCTGCCAAGTTCACAATCCTTGAAAACCTTTCCTAATAAGTATTTTCATAATATTGGTAAGGCTCTTTTCTCCCATCCAGAGTCTGCAGGATTTGTATTTTAGTTAATGTCCTGCAATAGGTTAAAAAAAAAAAAAATTGTGAACTTCCAGAGATCTTTTCCAAAGTAAAACAATTGTCTTTTTGTATTTCAAATGGTCTGGAGTGTTATTTAGAGACCCTGAGATTTGCTGTTGTTCATAATCTACTTTCCCAGAATCTGTAAATTGAGGTTCTTTCCTTATTTGTATTCATCTGTGTGGGTTTCTGATATTAGAGAGCAAGCCTGGTGGTGACCTTTTAAACGTGCACATACGGACAGGCTGAGCTAGACAGGGCTAGCTACACAGTTACTGTAGTTCCCGCTCTTCGTGACTGAGGCCACTCTTGGAAGCCTCCAATTTCTCATCCTGAAAGTGAGAATGGTGCGACCTCATGGACAGAGCAGTGTCTTGTGAGTGCTTGAGCAGGGGAGGAGGGGGGGTTGGAGAGAGCCAGCTGAGTATTTTTAATAATATGAAATATTCTGAGATACTTTGGGATACTTCGAGTAAGCTACCGGAGAAGACATTTCTTATATGATCACACCCCCATTTGATCCAATTTGGACCAAATTCAAATTGAAAGAAAAGCTTTAAATGATAAAGTTCTGGACCCAAAATTGGGTGGCATTTGCTGGGTCAGTTTTTAGGTGTTTGTGTATACTGTGAGATCAACCTTAAAATTGATGGAAGGGAAATAGAAACAGTGCCAATTGGTATCTTCAAAAACTTAAAAAAGTTTGTACCAAATAAGAGTATATATTTTTATAGGCCTAAAAGCAAAACAAGTACTTTTCTTGAGTTCTAAGAGCTTAATTCAAAGGAGGGATGCTGCTGGGTTCCTCTTGAAGGCAGTGGAGTATTTTACTGATGAGGGACTTACACGTGCACACAGCATTTTATGTATGGTCTTTGGAGCACAAATCCATGTGCTGAGAAAAATCTTCAGTAGGACAAAAGGATTAGGAGCTACAATGAACTTGTTGCTTACAGTTTTGCATAAAGTTAAGACTGTATCCAAGCTACTGATTGAATATTGAAAATGCGACTCTTTGTAACCTTTTTCGCCTAACCCAGGATGATCTGTTTGGTCACTCCCTCCAGTGCACAGACCCCCTTGCCCAGCACTGTTCTACCTCGTTTGAGCCTCACCTGTCTCTCATCGAGACCTGGTCTTGAACGACGGCCGTAGTTCTGGGCAGTTTCTATAAAGCTGGCCTGTTTGTTTTCCCTCCCCGTGGGTACACACTAACCGTATGACCTCTAGCTATCATATAGATTACACGATTCTGGCATCGGGTGTGCTTCCAAAACTCTTCAGAAACTTAGTATCATCAAAGTGGTCTAATAAAACCCTAACCCTCAGGCTTACGTAAAAGTGATTTAACTCTTCACCTTCCAACTCATGACCATCCAACCAGTAATTTATCTATTTGGCCATTTTGCAGTTTTTATTGCTGTGTTATTCAAGATCACCGCTTAGCCTTTTCACATTTAAAAATTCATCTTTGGTTTTTCTGACTGGTGCTATTTAGGTCTCAGTTAATGTTTATCCTAAACACACACACACACACAAGCCAGAAGCTCTTCAATCTCGGCTTACTCTATTGCCAGTGGGTCGCGTTATAATTAATGCAGTTGATTCATTCCCAAGAAGCAATCCTAGAATGATTTTTAGTAAGTTTGGGCAAAACTCATTTTTGGAAAATTCTCCAAAACTCCCTCAATGATGCTTTACCACAGAAGAGTCAGGAGCTCTCGCAAGTTATTTTATCTCTTTGCCCTCTGTTTGGAACAAATAAGGTAAGAGTATCTCCCATCACAGGCAGATGTCATGTCTTACACTCATGCTTCCTTGTGGATGCTCTACTGCCCTAAACATCTTTTAGGATGTATTGTGCTTCTGTTCTATGTGGCCATTAAAGACTGTCTAAAGACACATCATGAGCTCTCTGAGCACCTCTCCTCTGAGACCAGGATAGGCTGTGGGTTTGTTTTTTCTCTTCGGTGCAGTTCCTGTTTATCTTTCCTTCGGCTGTCCTCTTCAGCTGTGGATTATCCATGTCTCTATTCACGTGTTTCAAATTAACTGATGTACATACAGCTTGGTCTTCTGAAAAAAAAAAACTGTTAAAATGTCTTGCGGACTCAAGTATAAAATGAATCTTAAATTCAGGTAGTGATTAAACCTTTTCCAAACCAACTGGAAAAATGTTTAAAATTCACATACTGGCAAGCTGTCATTGAATATCCATTCCAAGGTTTTTGGAGTAAGTTTGAGAAAGGCTTTTTCCTAAACCTGTAGAGCTCCATGAGGCTAAAAAAAACCAGGTGCATCCAAGATCTGATTTCAAGGCAAGATTTACTACTTTACAAACACAAACACGATACTCGGTCTTAATAGAAAAATGACATCAGATACACCCAGAATATGTTTAGCATTGGGACAGTTGCCAGTTTGGCACAAATTGTTTTTAGGAGCAGGGAGGGAAGAGAATAACTATTTCTTACATTTTGGTACATCAGGAACACTTGTTTGAATAATATTTTGCTTGAATTAAGCCTGTTAGTACTCTTTAAGTGTAAAACTTGAATACTTGTCTTGAGTTCTGACCCTAGTGTTTTGATCTAAATGACATTTCATACATGTCTTTTGACTAGTGCGCTGTTATGTACAGAATTTAAAATGTGATGGTTTTAGTATGAAACTTGGTTTGATAATGTGATATAACCTATTCAAAGCTGTATATTTAAAATCAAGGAAATGCTTTTTTGTGAACTCTTTCTACTGAAGAATGTATTTAAATTAAAATAATTAAAAATAAACCACATGAAGCAGTGATCTGCTAACTGAACAGGTCAGTTATCTGAGCTGTGTGAATAAATGCCACTAGACTCCAGCAACTTTGCCAGGGACCTCAGAAGCATACCACTGAAGAGCCATTTTGCAAATAAGAAAGTGGCGACTTCGAGATTAGAGTTGGAACTACACAATCCGTTCCAGAAGGAGCTGTGTGCCCTCCTCCACAGGAAGACCCCATTCCGTGAAGACAGACCTCTCCTGTCTTGTTGCTGAATGCGACATGTCTCTTACAATCCAGCAGTGCGAGGGTAGTACATTTTCAAACGCACTGGGTGTGAACGGCACTTTGAACTTGCCCATTCCTTTTTCGGTTAAATCTCTTCACGTAGCTGCTGCCACTCATGAGCAATCCATCTCCTGGTCGGAGCCGTCCTCTCAGGACCTGGAGCAGAGCTGTAGGGAGCTGGCGTCTCTTGTGGTAGATATGGCCCATCACAATATACCTGCTTCCTGAAAAAAAGTAACCAAAATGTAAATTCGCAGTGTCTTTTAAATGCCAAGAAACAGTAAGAACATGCAAGGCCGTCAAGGAACGCCTAAGCTTCAATCTGGTATCTTGCTGCACCTGTTAAATCTCAGACGTTTCACCCTCAAACAACAGGTGAAAACAGTCTAGGGACCTTTAGAAGATAATCAGTTTATCTGCCTATTATTACCCGCCAACATCCCGGTACAAAGGTCCTAACCACAATGTAATCAGGAGGATTTTCCAGAGCACACCTCTAGAAAGACGTGGGAGTGGGTATTCCACCCCCTCCAAAAAAAAGACATTCTAAACTTTCTAAAAGCGTCTCCGGTGCCCCTCTAGCAACGTTGTTTCGTCACTCCATTTATCAACAAATATCTGAGTGCCCGCTTTGTGTCAATCCATGCTGTTCCCACCTTTAACCAGAGGCACGGGGAGGCTGACGGAGCGGAAATCGGAGTGGCAGAAATACCTGTCGTCTAAATTCTATTCATTTTAGAATACTAATCCCCCCGCCCAAACGGTATTGGGGTAACGAACAGACCAGGCTGTGGCATCCAAGTTACAAGTGGTGGCACAAAATCCGTATATAAAGTGTTCAGATCAGTTTCAATACCAGGTTTAAACTCTGGGCATGGCTTATTGCAGCTGGAGGAGTCTAGGACTAGTATGTGGACTCGGAAGAAAAACCCGTCCGGAGTGATGTACAGGCGGTTCATCTTGTACAGCCCATCCCGGTCCACCAGCAGAGTCACCAGCCGGATCCCTGTGCCGAGCACGTCCACGTCATGCACGATTCCGTTCACTGCTGCTTTCAAAAAACAAAGAGTTTGGAGAAATGCAGAACGCTCATTTCCTCTCTTTCCCCAGTGAGTTTTGCACACATCATGAAATAGTCCACATGGGTCTGGGGACCGCAGAATTGAGTGGGTTTCTCTAGGGTCTCCCCTAGGGCAGTCTGCGAGCACAGCCCGCGCCTGGGCTCGGAAAGGCTCGCCTCGCGGCCTGGGCTCTGCGGCCCGGGCCCGGGAGGTGCTGCGGGGCGGGGCTCACCGAATTCGCTCGCGCAGTAGGACTCGCGCTCGTCCAGGTCCACCCTGCAGGCGCGCGCGCAGGGCTCGGCGCCAGGATCCGCGTCCCTCCGCGGCGGGCTGAGGCGCGGGGGTGGTGCGGGCTCGGGCCCCGGGGGCGGCGCGGCGGCGCGCGGCCGGTTGGGGTGGGCGGGGCTGGCGGGAGCCTCGGCGGCGCGCGCGAGCGACCGCGCGGCCGGGAAGCGCAGGGCCCGGGCGCGTGAGCGCCGCGGGGAGTCCTCCAGCGCGGGCACGCGGCGCGGCGAGGCGCGGTTCTCGGCCTGCGCGAGGCGGGGGCTCGGCGGGCCGGCGGGCGCGTGCGCGGCCTCCCGGAAGCCAGCCCGGTTCTCGGCGGGCGGCGGGGGCTTCCGGCGTCGCGGGTCGGACCAAGCGCGGGGAGCGGCCTCGGCCGCGCGCGGCCGCCGCGGCACCTCAGGGACCGGCTGCGCTCGGGGCCCCGGCGTCTCCTCCGCACTCGGGCCGCCGCCGGGGTCGGGCTTCCTGTTGTGGGGCGGCGACGCTGTAGGGAAAAAAGAGGAGAGGCCGGGGAGGCCGTCAGGGAAGGAGAGGCGCGGAGGGGAGAAGCCGAGTGGGAGGGCAGCGGCGCGGGGGAGGGGAGACCCTGTGAGAGGGCAGGGGAGGCCGAGTGGGGAGGAGAGGAGGAGCGGGAGAGGTTGAGAGGGGTGGGAAGGCGGGCGGAGGGTCTGAGAGGCCGGTGGGCGGGCGGGGTGGGGGTGAGGGGCGGGAGAAGAAAAGGCCCTGGGAGGGGAGAGGAGATGGGGACAATGTAAACTTAGCAAGCACCTGCGAGAGGAGCGATGGCCGGGGAGGGGGGGGGTGAGGCGGGGGGCGGGGGCCCGGAGACTGGGAAGTGAAGGCCAGGGAGCGGGAGGGGGGAGAGGAAGGCGCCCCTGTGGTAAGGGGAGGGAAGCCTCAGCTTCAGGTCTGAGTAGAGCACAGGTTTCCTAGGCCCCGGGGGAAGACTGAGATGAGGGTCTTGCCCTCTAAAAATGAGGCCAACTAAGAAAAATTTTCTCACCACATGGGAACATCTCATTTTGTTAAGGAACCTTTTAAAATCGATAGCTTTTAAAATTGCAACAACCTGTTTGTTCTAGGGCTAAACACAACGGTCAACTGTGGTTAAATAACAAACTCTTTTTTGCCGTTTCTTTAATATATCTATAAACATCCGCCTTTTTGCTATGTACAGTTTGTTGAGAAAGTACCAAGAGCAAACCCCAGGGGGAAAGGTCTCATATTACAGGTTCTCCTAATTGTTTAAGCGCCCCTGACAACAGAACTATTTGGTTTTCCCATCCGTGTTTACACTGTCATCTTGGTCTCTGGGAGTGGATTTTTATCTGGCTTCTTGGACACCGCTTACTAGTAAACTACAGCTAAGGAAGATTTTTAAAGCATGGCTGGGAGGCCGAGGCCCCTGGTTGAGTATAAAAGCACACGCGCACCACTTACATTTCCCCTTCCCTGGTGGCGAAAAATCTCTTAAATGATATGGCATGAAAACAATTTTTTTTAATTATTAATGATTTTCCCCAGCTCTGCAGACAGGTTGGTGAGCAAACTTCAGCCAGCTTGGAAGCTGGGCAACTTTCCATGCCCAGTTACACAATATCACCTCCCCGTTTGCCTGGGTCCCAGTGCCCTCCAAAGAGGCACAAGAACCTTTCTTTTTCTGTGGTCTCAACGGCTGGTTTTCCACATTTCTCTCTTCTTGCATGGAAGAGCTGGGTCTGCCCACGTGCAGCTCTTGCAACACTTCATTTAAAGGGATTTATCTTGCCCAATTGACAATCTCCTTTAAAATCAGCTTTCCCCCAGCCGTAATAGCTGGTTCTAGTGCGTGTTTTTGCAGAGAGGTTGATTCTGACTCATTATGTCCAACGTTGTCCCATTCACAGCTGAATAAAGTTCTGGTAGATATCCAATTCCTGACAACTGTTGACCTCACAACTGCTTCCCCATTGATATCACCATCTGTTGTCATGGGAAAGATTGTCTGATATTTGGGTTAAATGCCACTGAAGTCATTCAGTTTCCATGTGGAAAAATAACCCAAAGTAAATTGCCCTGTGAGGTGCGGAAGCTGTTTTTCCCAGAGATAGGGAATCAGAAGAACATCCAAAGAAAAGCAAAACAAAAACCTCTCCCCGCAGAAAATCCCTTATTTCATTATTTCATTCCCTCAGTAACTTATTTTCATCTCATGCACGAAACTCTGTGTGTGCGTGTTTTAAAGACTCAGGTACGCGCCCCCCCCCCCCCGCCCCCACGGGCCATTCGCTGGGGCTTGCAGCCAGAGGGGAGAGATGTCCGATTTGGGCTCCCCTTCGCCCTCAGCCGCCGCGGGCGCACCCAGCGCTTCGGATCACCCGCGGGACCCCGGCCCCGGCGCAGGGCGGACCCCGCGCTGCTCCCGGCGCCCGCCGCCCGCCGCGTCCTGCGAGCCCGGCCCGCACGGCGCCCGAAAGGCATGCCGCGACCCCTTTTGACACTTTCCCTCCTCTGTGATGGAGCAACTACTTAACATGCAAAGTTTTCCCCAGCCTGCCCGGCTCGCTCGAGATCATTTCAGTAGCTGAACTGGCTTCTTTCCGAAAAGGCTGCCAGGACACACAAAATCTTGGGGACACAGTTTGCTCCTTTCGAACACGAACACGGACACGGAGTCCCCTCTCCTGCACACTCTGACCCCTTTCTCGTCCCGCCCTTCAGCGCGCCTTCTCCCCCGTCCCCCTCCCACCCCCCCACCCCACCCCTGCTCCTCTCCCAGGACTCAGCATTTCCCCGATCTTACCTTTTCTCTCCGCCACTGGGGCTTCGGGAGAGGATCCAACGATCAAACAGAGGAGCCAGAAAGCTCTAGCTGTCATTTTCGTAGACACGGTTCCCAGGCTCTAAAACGGAGCCTGGGCTTTTGCTCTTTCTCTCCCCCCACCCCTTCTCCACACCCCCACCCCCGTTCATGCTAATGAGGGGCAGCCTTTGGGGAAACGGGAATCACTCACTGAACAGACCATTGGAACAAAACCGAGCTGCAGGGATTTCTCCCACTTCCTAAGGGGGACAAGCACATGGCCTCTCGAAGTTGTCCCAGCGAACGTCTGTGGGCAGTGACAACATCAAATCCTAAACTTGAAACCCGTGTGGGTTTGCGGACTGGAGTGGGGCGGGGGGAGGAGAGGGTGGGGCAAGTGGAGAGAATAAGGGTGTTGAGGGGCTGAGGGACAGGGTGGGGGAGAAGGAGTGATAGGAAGTTTTTTCCAGATTAAGTCAACAACAAATAGGCGGATTAGTGCGGAAGACAACTTGGGCTTGTGGAAGGGATTCAAGATGACAGGAAAATTCATCGGGGAATGTGTCCGGGGGTCTGAGAGAAACCAAGCCTACGTATGGTTAAGCTATTGTACTATATATGCCACTTTTATATTCTAGAACCAGAAGGAAAAACAGCCTTGAGCAAAGTAGTCTCTCTTCTCCTTCCCATTTTTTTCTTCTTTCTTTCTCCTTCCTTCCTTTCTTTCTTTCCTTCTTTTTTCTTTCCTCTCTCAATTGAAATTAGTATCTCGTTGGCTAGATTCATCAAGCCCATGCTGAGTGCCTTCTACCCAACCAGGTACTAGAAGATAAAAATGAGAAAAACACCTCCCCAGCTCTCTCGTGATGGCTCCTCTCCTAGAGAAAGGTAGGTCTTTTGTTTTTTTCTCTCTCTCTCTTTCTTTCTAAGAAAAATAAACTCATTCACTGCTTAGGTGTGAATTCTTGAAATGACTCTGTATATGAGTCCTGAGCGAAGGACCCTTTTCCTGAGATTGAACAGAAATAGCATTCACCCAGGGGGGGAAATCAGCTCACCACAGCCTTACCAACGTGTATCTCATTTCAGCAGCCTCAAACCCAAAAGGAAGGGGAAATGCACTGAGGTGAAGGCATTTTATCTGGAATATATGAGGCCAGAGTGAGATGCAGCTGCTAAAAGAAATAACAAACTTCTGCTGAAGCAATATCTTATGTCTCAAAAATAATAATGCTAGTGGACTGACCAGATTCAGGGGGGATCATGTTTTCAAGAAAGACACTGGAAAGCTTGGAGAACAATAGGGGAGTGAGAAGGCTTGGCTCCATCACCAAGTTCCTTCACAGGAACTGAGGCTAAGCAGATATTTTGCGAAAGAACCAGTTATAAGTTATAAGGTGACATGTTTAATTCCAATTTAAGAAAAGATAGTCTAACAGCCGAGATCTTCAAGAAAGCAGGCTGCTTTGAAGGAAAGTATCCTTCCTTGGGAAAACTGGAGCCAGAGTGGGGATCCAAAGAGAATGTCTATCATTCACCGTAGGGCAGGGGTGCCTGGCTGACTCAGTTGGAAGCGCAAGCAACTCTTGATCTCTGGGTGTTAGTTCGAGCCCCATGTGGGGTGTAGAGATGACTAAAAATAAATAAACTTTTAATTAAAAGTACTGAAGAAGAGTTTCCTGAATTAGTTGTGCTGTGGTTTGAGAGATACGGTGAAGCAAATATATTCATCCAGAGAGGAGCTGGCTGACTAGTCACAGGCTGATTTTATGTTGGAGGGAGTCACTATCCTCTGTAGTCTGGTCCTCAACTTTCTTGAGCTTGGAACTCACTTATGTCAATGCATCAGATTTGTGGGACTGACTCATATTAAACAAACTCATAAGAAGAAGATGTATAAACCAGACCATTACTTATTAATTTGCAATGGAGAGGCTATAGCAAAGATGATTCAGCAATCTGATTATTAACCAGAAGTTTGCTTGTTGAGCACTAAATTGAATTGCAGCTCATGGTGGGCTAATCTTCCTCATTCGGGTTTTAGAGGAGTGAGTTCTCTATTTCCTTCCAAAGAGTAAACCTCTCCAGTCACTGCAAAGCCTGTGTACGCCAGAGTCAGTGTCTCCAGCCTCTGGAGGCTTGTGTTCTCGAGGCCCAGTGTACAGATGTCCTCAGATCCCCTTCTTTCACATGCTTTTTCTTTAAGTCAAGTGGAATAAAATTAATTGGGCTTAAGCTTTCTCATTTACAAC